AGTTATAGGAAGACGATTAGCTGCATACTATTCGCAACGTGCTCAATATGTGCTCTCTGAAGAACGACTAAAAGCGCTCGCTTCCACGACAAACTTTTCTTCAGAACAGGGAAATGTTCACAGCAGATACGAAAAAGTTGATTTCTACTATTCGGATGTAGTTAAAAATGCTTGAGATGCGGCGTGTCGAAGCAGACCTCGGGAATCGATAAGTGCCTACTGACATCTGCAAAAATTTGGCCACTCGGAAAGAATTGGGAAAAACTATGACTCCTGTGGCTAGAACTATATTAAACAAGGCTATACGCTATAGAGTGAAGAAAGAATATCGTGAATATGCGCAACGTAAGGCAAGAGAAGCGGCTGAAAAATGTACGAGCATCAAAAGAACATTCATCAACACTCGACTCAAAACCATTACTCCTGAATATCTCACAAAAGAAGATGGCTCTGTTGTCAGGAATAAAAAGGGAATGGAAGGAGAAATTCGAAACTTTTTCCAAGACCTCTTCTCCATAAAAGTGCTGGTGCAACCTAACATGATATTTTGTGAGGACGACGATGACACACTTGCAAGAGATGAGTGGAAAGTACTTGAAACGGAAGTATTGAAGGCTATTCAACAGACGAAAGGAGGAAGAGCGCCTGGGCCAGATCGAATTCTGGCAGAACACCTGAAATGTCTGAAGGAGTTCATCGCCCGCCCTTTGGCAGACATTTTCCCGAAATTGGCGCGTCAACGTGTGAAATGTACCAAAAGGGAAGTGGTGCTCGAACCACTCAATTTTTTGAGTGGCCACGAAAAAGGACCGGGGCGTGGATACACTGAGACTCAACTATGCGTCCTATATGCGCTCCCCTGATCCAAACACTCAATCAAATCTTACTTCACGTATATCCTCACGCCTAAGTGAACACCTCAATATAAATACGAGAAAGAACACAGCCGGATTTCGGTGAAGGCTTTCAACCATGTACGATCAGATACAACGTGATTTTCAACTACTCGAAATGATGTGCGAGAGCTACCGGAATCCCGCTATGTCTTATCTTCTTGGGTTGACTTCAAAAAGGCATTCTGACACGGTCCGAACACCAAAGCCGGTAACTAAACGCCACTTGGCCTCGTCGAATTTCAAGAAGCAACAATATTTGAAATGATAGCGACATATTGTAACACAGCTGCTACACTCGGACATAAATTGCTCAAAGAACCCAGTTCGTGTAAGAGAAATCCAACGTGGCGATAGCGCAAGAGGCGAGGTCATCTCTCCAAAACTATTCTCTGCAGCTTTAGAACTTGTAATGCGGCAAATAGAGCTGCCTTGTGGCATTGAGATAGATGGCGAAAGACTTCAATACTTGATGTTTGCAGACGACATAGTCTTGATTGGAAGCGAACCGAGTGCACTCGAAAGCTCCCTCAATATTTTGAGCGAAGCCTCCCAATCCGTCGGACTTGTAATACATCCGGGAAAAACCAAATGGATGAAAAACAACTATACAAACGACTATCGTTTATGCATGAAAGGATCAATCATTGAAGAAGTCTCATCGTTCACGTATCTTGGCCAAGAAATAACGATGGATAATGATCTTACAAGAGAAATCAGCCGGCGTCGAAAGGCGGGATGGGCCACATTTAATAAATACCGAGATGTTCTCACCGATATACGGATTGAAACTCAAATAAGATCTCAGGGTGTTCAACACCCATGTTCTACCAGCAGCAATTGGTATAAGGTGGAAGTGAGAGCATGGAGCACAAATCCAAGAGGAGGAGAAGAGAGCACTAGTCTGCTAATAGACGACAAAGGAGCAATGGAGCGAGCAATGTGTCGAGTAACACTAATGCACAAGATCCCTGCTCGCGAAATCCGAAGACGGACGGGCGTAAAGGATGTTATCGAAACCATTTATGACCGAAAAGAGATGGCCTGGACCACGTAGCTGCGTCTGTCTGGACGACAACACGGGATGGAGAATAGTCGCGTAACCAACTGGTATCCTCGTGGTGTAAAAAGGCCACAGGGAAGACCCCCAGCCAGGTGGAGTGATCCTTTTAAGAAACTATATGGACAGAGATGGCAACAAATGGCAAGAAATCGTGATGAATGGCATAGATGTGTCCTGCAAGGATGGCGTAACCAACCTTGAAGAGCGGACATCAAGAAAAAGTAAGGTCAGTGTGTTCATGTTGGGTGTGTTTGACGCGGAAATTCATCACTTCCTGGTGAGAGCGACCACAGCGCTTCACAGACTGAGTAAAGTGATGTAGGGTTTCGGGGCAGGGAACACTCTTGTAGGATGGCAGAACTGATATAGAGCTGAATGAAACGCCAGGGGTGTTTAGAAAGGGGAGGAGCCACCCAAAATTACTCCCAAGCATCGGCAGAACCGTAACAACCGGGACCGTTGAGATCCAACAGTAGCCAACATAGGCGGGCAGGATGGGAACATTATTGGTGGGTGGCAGGAAGTGATAACCGCTGATAAGATACCATGAGGAGCCTTAAAAAGAGTGGGTTACCAAACTCATAACACCGGCCAGAGTAACGGCCGGGCGTTGGATCCAAGTAGAGAGATAGGGGCAGGGATGAACATTTTCGGTGGGTGGCAGGAACTGATAAGAGCTGATAAAATAGCACAGGGGTTCTAGAAGGGGAGGGGTCACACAGATTATAAAGCACCGGCAGTAGCAACCATCGGGATCTTGATCCAAGTGTAAGACGGGGCCGGACGGGAAACATTGGTTGGTGGGGTGGCAGGCAGTGATAACAGCTAATGGATACGATAAAGGCCCGTAAATAAGGGAACTCATAAAGCATTATACAACTGTCGCCCCAGTCGACGGTAAGCGTGGTCGTTTTCCACGAGAGTGAAGATAGGGGCAGGCATGGGAACTTATCGGGTGGTGGCAGGACGTTATCCAACTAGCTGATAGGACGCAACAACCCTTAACAACACGAGTCGTAGCAACACTGGGACCCTCCAGCAAGTGATTCAGACGTTTTTAGCGAACATGGTGGGAGACTTTGGGTGGCAAGAGACATGTTGTGATACTGCTCCTGACAAGGGCTTAGAGTTAGTATCTGTCCCCCTCCCTACTCTGCTTCGATTGAGCTTCACCACTGTGGTCCAGGAATCGATGAGCAAAGGTTTTATGTGAGCCAGGCGCTCTCTATCCTTGAGCATTATCGACAAGATTGATTCAAAAACCCCCCTAATACTCCAAAGATTGTTCGCATAAGATATAAACAGCTCAAAGATGGTCAGGAGGAGTGACTAAGGGCCAACCAGCAGACCGGAAGCTGGAAGCTGCCACTGGAAACGCTCAGGGAATAATACTTCAAAAAAGACATGGAATAAGGTTTTTTTGTAAGTTTTACTCGGCGCATTACTCTACTTCTGAGATAGTAATTTCTTCAGTTTTCAGTGATTTTGTTCCAAGTCACTTTTGACATTGATGTCTCGTTTAGAACCATCAAGCGGGTGACGGCAGTGTTAGGCTCCTCAGAGTTTCTAATTCTTTTTGATTCTTTTGAGTATTGCGTCACATTTCTGAGAGCGACAGCTCGCAATAAGTGGCTCCAATCGCATTCACGCGAATTTGAACATTCACCTCTTACTTTGTCTTTATTTGCTGATTTCTTAACGATAAACTCATCGTCACGATTTTTCTCGTCCAAGAAAAGTCGAAAAGTTGACCGCTATCCAAAACAAAATTATTCGCAGCAACTAGAGCAGATTTATGCCAAAGTCGGCTATTCGTCAACTTTTTCTTCGTGGAAGAGGGAAGACGTGGAGCTCTGCAGAGCATTGGGCATACTTAACAACATTCCAATCGAAGGAGCGTTTCTTCATCTTTTAGGGTCAGCCTTCAAGGAGTTGATGTTCGACCTGTCATGGCCATGATACCGGTTTCACCGTCCGCGCTGCTGAGGGCCAGCCAACGCCTAATCATAGCTGAACGCGCTCGCCCTCTCATTCTAGTTATTCTCCGTCGCTGAGTGTGTGTTTGGGGTCAATGCAGTTCAATGGGGCAACACCAGTTCTGTACGAGGGCTCGGCAGGTGGACTTCCTGGCTAGTGCTTCGGTAATAAAAATGTGCCGCTGTTTTCCAACAGCCATTAAATGCCACGCTGTCGCACTTCATTCAAAACATCAGGTCATTGCTCGCCTCCAATGTTTATGTGAAATGGCCTGTAACATCATCTGATCGTTGACAGCCCCTCAGAGATTCAATACTGGGATGTTCGAGATGTTACTGGGATCCACGCATTTATATTCTTCGCGGGTATTAGGTGCGGCTGGAGGCGGAGGTGGTGTAGTGACAAGCGGCACGTTATGACGCGCACGACCCGAGGATGAAATCTCGGATTGGCTCCCGCCCAGACCCAACAAGCCACGGACGGTAATGTGGTAGCAGGATCGTCTGGGACGACACGAGCACTAACTTGTACATCGACTGACTCCCGCAAATCATT